TCGAACATGGTAATTTGAAAGACTCTCCTTTCTTGGCTAGCCAGGGAGGAGTCTTGGTGGTTCATCTTGTTGCCATTTCTGTTGTCACTTGTCCAGGTTATTTCAGGGTTGTAATCCGGATATTGTTTTGTGACTCAAACCCCTTTATCCTTTTATTTTTCCTAGTTCCTTTAGTCGTAGTAACTCATTTAGTGTTATCTAGGTTTTTTCCAGGGTTGTAACTTAGTTTATTTTGCTTGGTCTGTTGTCCAAACCCTTTCACCATCTGTCTGATGCAATTTTCTATTTTCTGTTATTTCTGGTCATTTTTTTTGTTTAGTTCTCTTTTCCTTTTATAGTTCTTTTCATGTTGGCTCTAGTGCCACGACATGCACGCATAATTCTAGGCCTGGTCTTAAAAGTTAGTTTAATCATGAAGCAATGAAATAATTTTGAAGATGATAGGGACACTTGAGGGAAATAAGTATAGATTTGGATATTTTGAGATCATTTGAAGCCCGAACTGTGTGAAACTGGGGCAGATAATTTGGGAAGTTAATAGGATGACAAGAATTCTTTAAAGGAGGGTACATCCCAGACAATTTGAAGCGAACAGTTTTGAGTTCAAGTGCACCTCATGTAACAAGATAAAGCCAATGTAGTTTGCTCTGAACTGACGAAGGGCATCTATTATGAAAAAGGAATCACCCAACGAAGGTTCTGTACTTGACAAGGCACTAAAGAAGTGGAAGGCATATCAGTGATATCAATGCCGAAGCTGCAAAAGAAATGTTGTGCATGATCTTCTTTTTTCATTCTTAAGTTGCATGTGTTGTACTTGGCATTTTCAGAGATTGTGAGGCCCTCTTTCAGCTACCTGAACACTTTATACCTTTTGGTACCCCTTTTTGAGCCTATGCTAAATTTTTGGACCTCCCCTCTTTTGGAATCAAGTGATAATAAAAAAAATTGATGTCCCCATAGGTTTGTTTTAGAAAGTTCATTCCAAAAGGAAAATTCAAGAAAAAAAATAGAATAGAGATAAAGAAAAAGAAAAGGAAAAAGAAAAAAAAGGAAAATAGTAACAAAAGTAGTCTTGTGAACTACGTTTGACCTGATTCTTATCACCACAAGATACGTAGACAACCTTATGGTTCGGTCATATCAAATAAAATATTTCATTATCCCAAAAAGTCGAGAGTGAGGCAGTCTTTCTTAGTAATTCCATAAAAAAAGAATCAAATTCTCTTGTTTTGGAAATTGGGGCAAAGTTTTATAATGGATTCCAAAAGTTTTAAATAAATTAACCCTGTTATCTTAGTTATTTTGAGTCATTATGATATCCTTTCTTTCTATCCATATCCAAAAGCCACATTACAGTCTAAAAAGATCTCCTAGATAATATTTGAGAGTGTCGAGCTAAACATGCCGGGAGCATATGATGTTTCTACTATGGTCAATGCTTTGTCATCTACAGAATTAGAGGAAATAAAAAGAAAAAGAACAAAATGAGAGAGTCTTATCAGTGGAAACCTTCACAGGCCCCGTAAGGCGATGTTAAGTTGAGAGAAAGAAAAATGAGAGAGGCTTGATGGTGAAAACCCTTCGGGCACTGCAAGTCGAATAAGGATTATGAATCAGATAGGATAATCGGAGCATTGAAGCCCAGTTTCACGGCGAAGAGGTACAACAAGAGTTGAACATTAGACTTTCTTGACAGATTAGACCACTTAATCCAAAGGTGCATGTCATGGTCATTAGAGTTGGTATCACATCTGATAAGTTTCTATCTTGTAATTTCTTGTTAGGTATCATCTCTTTCCATTGTCCCTTACTCTGTTCCTTTTATTTTGTTTACTTCCTCTTCTTGAGTCTTTTTAGTCAAAACAGGCGAGAAATGACTTCAATATTTTCTACCAGCCTTCCAATTGCACAAAGCGGAGTCTGGCTAGTACATCAAAGTGGCTTAAGTCAGGAAAGAGTAGTATGCGCAATGTGTTGACGACAATTGACGTGCTTTGGGATTCATGTGAAATACAAAGGTTCGGTATATGTCAATTCATGAGCACAATGCAACAGATAAAGGGTATTGGGTCTGAATGGATCAAAGATATTTTCTGTGATAAGGGTGATAGATAAAGTGGTTAGTCAATAAACAAGCAAGGTCTTTTTAGTTGAAATCAAAGTTATCATAGGAAGTGAAGGAGCAATCTCCCTCAAAGTCAAGGCCACAAACCAACCACCATGTTTAAACTCACAAGTTTTCTTTGTTTGGAACAAGGACGAAGACTATATGTCCAAATCAAAGCTTGAATTTTTCAAGTGTCGTGCTAAATTTTTGTCAGCACAAAGGCGGTTTGATAAGGGGAAAGAAAATTTGTTCGATCTGCAGGAACCTTCCATGAGGAAAGCATGGTTCATGAGCAAGGAATTTTGTTCGTAAGGAAGAGAGCATAGCTCAGGTAAGTTCATTCTCGGATTTTCAGGACCCTCTTGGATAATGGGATTTAGTTTTAAGTGTTCAGGACCCTCCTGGATAATGGGATTTAGTTTTAAGTGTTCAGGACCCTTCTAGATAACAGGATTTAATTTCAGGTTTTCAGGACCCTCATGGATAATGAGATGTAGTTTTAAGTTTTCAGGACCCTCCTGGATAATGGGATTTAGTTTTAAGTGTTCAGGACCCTCCTGGATAATGGGATTTAATTTTAAGTGTTTAGGACCCTCCTGGATAATGTGATGTAGTTTCCAGTTTTCAAGGTTCTCTTGGATAATGGGATTTAAGTTCAAATTTTCAGGACCCTCCTAGATAATGAGATTTAGTTTTAAGTTGTCAAGACCCTCCTGGATAATGGGATTTGGTTTTAAGTTGTTAGGACACTCTTGGATAATGAGATTTAGTTTTAAGTTTTTTTGGACCCTCATAGATAATGAGATTTAGCGTAAGTTTTACCTTTAGGAAATAGAATTTAGCTTTCAGATTTTCACTCTTAAGATGAGATTTAATTTTAATTTTCAGGTCACTCCTGGATAATGGAATTTAGCTTTTAAATTCTTAGAGCTCTTTTGTATAACAGGATTCGATTAACACTAACAGATGTTCCCGATACCAAATTGGGGCAGAAAAATTTCTTTTGTTTTGTCTATTTTATTGTAATGGTAGGTGCCCACCTGGAGAACAAGGGAATACATTTGAAGTTTTGGCATCAGGCACCCACCTGGACAACAACGGAATCCATTTCAAGTTTTGGCATCAGGCGCGCACCTGGAAAATAAGGGAATACATTTCAAGTTTGACATCAAGCGCCCACCTGGATAACAAAGGAATACATTTCAAGTTTTAGCATCAGGCACCCACCTGAAAAACAAGGGAATACATTTCACGTTTGACATCAGGTGCCCACCTGGATAACAAGGGAATACATTTCAAGTTTTGGCATCAGGCGCCCACCTGGAAAACAAGGGAATACATTTCAAGTTTGACATCAGGCGCCCACTTGGATAACAAGGGAATACATTTCGAGTTTTAGCATCAGGCACCCACCTGTATAATAAGGGAATACATTTTAAGTTTTGGCATCACGAGCCCACCTAGAAAACAAGGGAATACATTTCAAGTTTTGGCATCAGGCGCCCCCCTGGAAAACAAGGGAATTCATTTCAAGTTTCCAGTCAATAGTAGGTACCCACCTGGAGAATGGGGAAAGTCATTTCAGAATTCATTTCAAGTTTCAAATCAGAGGTAGCACGAGTTGTTTGAAGAATAAGGTTTTTACCTCGAGGCACGGGGGTTTGAGATGACCAAAGAAGAAGTCTCAATCCAAGAAAAAGAAAGAAAAGGAAAAAAGAGGGAAGTGAATCCCAATGCAGAAGCAGATGAAAGATGTGAGTTGTTCAAGACATGGCTGAAGTCACGAGCACTGCATGTCCAGTCTTGATCCGAAGAATCCGTGTAAGAATGAACTAACACCTGCAGCTAGCAAGCGTCAAGGTTCAAATCTAACGTCTGCATGAAGAACCATTCAAGACTCAAGATCAAGGTTCAGAAGACTTATAAATAGGAATCTTGTAACTCATAGTTGCCAGGCTTAGTTAGTCTTTTTCATTTTTTGATTTTTATGTAATAATAGGATCGTGGATCGGAATCTCGACAGAACGACACATCAATCGACTCTTCACCTCGGTGTACTCCATCACTGTTCCTACTTTTGAACTACACGTGGCCTGATTCCTTTATAGCCAAGGATATGTAGGCAGCTCAAATACCAGGGCTCGGTCACATTTTTCTTTCTCTTAGTTTTTTGTCTCTCTAAATAAGGGCCGGGTCAAAAAAAAACCTGACTCGTCGTTCTTTGTCTGAAAACTCTTCGCGTTTCTAGTCAAAAGGGGCAGCTGTAGACATGTGATTTTTGACCCTCTCCAAGAGTTTATATATTTTAGCATTTAAATATTTAGTTTAGGTTTAATATAGTTATTTCAAGTAGTTTTGACTCTTTTACTTTATTTTATCACAAAAATAAAAATTACAAAAATATTTTCTTTTATTTAGCTAACTAATATTTTATCTAGTCACGTTTAATTTAACTACCTTACATAAAATTCAAAAAAAAAATACAAAAATAGTTCCACTTTATTTTTAAGAATATTATTTTAATTTTTGTGATGTTTTTAATCTAATTCCATTTTGGTCTTTTAGTGTGATATTTGAAAAAATATAACAAAAATAGGTTTGTTTTAATAGTTAGTTTTGTTTTAGTTATTTTTACTTAAGTATGATTAATTAAGTAAATGAGGTAGTATTTTTTTTAGTCTTGTTCAAAGAGAAAAAATACAATTTGGGCTCAAATAACCCATTTTCTAGGCGTAATTTTTGGATCTAGCCCAAATAACCTTAGCCCATAATTCCTATAGGCCCAAGACCAACCCTAAGACCCTTCTTTTTAGTCTTCTTAAGACTCAAAAAAACATAGAACCCTAGGTGAGCTGGAGCCGTTTTTTAGACTAAGAGAGACCCCCCCCCCCAGCATTTTTGGTCGACGAAAAAAGAGCAGCAACCGACTCTGACCATAGATGATCCGAAAAATCCCTTCCTTATCATCGTTCTTCTCCAAACCAAGAGATAAAGAGCTCTTATCACATTCTAAAAGAGCACGCAGCCGCAACACACACATATAGATAGCAAGAGAGAAAGAAATAGAGGGAAAAGGATAGATAACTCTTTTATTTCTTCTATTTCTTTTTTTAAATCTCGATTTTGATTTAAAAAAACGGAGTTTGAATGAACATTCGGTCCGAGTGTGAGTCCAGCTGAGATTTGTAGTGCCGATCGAGGTTCGTTCGTTGATTGTTAGGTCATGTTTCTTGTTGCTGTTTCTCGGTGGATTTTTATGATCGAAAGAATTTACATTTGCTGATTTTTCATTGTCAATTAAAAGAATTTCAGTTTAGCAAGTTCATCTCTGTCTCGTTTTCTCTATCTTGATTTTATTAACTTGAATCGAGCTTCAAAAGAGCCATTAAAGGAAGGGTAGAATTTTACGTGTGAGTTGCTTCAGTGACTGATTGACTTCTAAAAATTTGTTTATCTAGAAATTATGTGTTCTCATTTGTTTTTCTATAGTTCTGAATCTATCATTATCAGTGTGTATTCCGTTTGTGAATAATTCCGAGCTTAAAACAAGTTGTTCAGTGAAATGACATAGTTCTCTGCTTGTTCATTGTCCAAAGTGAGATTCACGTCCATGCTTTCTATTGTCTGGATCCATGAGTTAATGGTTAAAATCTTGTTGAAGAAGCATTTCACTCATTGTTAGAGTTTAGAACCTTTAAGATTCATAAATGAGTTGCTGAAATAGCTTTTTGTTAATAAAGTTAAGGGTAAGACAGTGAACCTCCAAGAATTACTCTTTGACTTCATTTTCCTGTGTAGATTAGGTCCATTAATTTCCTATCTCATAGACCTGGTCCACATCCCACGTTAAGGTCGTCATATGCATTAAAAATGAAGTCATAGGTGTGAGCACACGATTTTTGCCTCATACGAATTACTCCAAAAGAATTCCCAAAATTAGGTCTTTTCTTTAATTATGTGTTATTTTTAGGAATTATTGTGTGATTTCCCTGATTGTTCGCATATATTTGTGTGCATGTTTAATTTTGTTAATGCATTAAAAATACAAAAATATAGCATTTTCATTTGAGATTTGATTTTTACATTTTTTGGAATTAATTAATAATTAGATATTTTACAAAAATGAAAATTCAAAAAAATAAAATAAAACATATTTTTGTAATTTTAGTCAAATTGTGTGATTTTCTTTTAATTTGGCATTTAATTATTTGTGATAATTATTAGTTAGAATTAATTAGTATTTTTAAGTTAATTTGGTGTTTTATAATTAATTAGGATTTTAGTTTTAATTGTTGAAAAGAAAAAGGAAAAGAAAATTGAAAAGGAAAAGAGAATAAGAAGAGGAAAATCTGGTTGGGCCAATTTAGCTATGCCCAAAACCAAAACTCAGCCAAACCCATTGAGAATAAGAAGAGGAAAATCTGGTTGGGCCAATTTACTAATTGAGAAGCTCCTAATAGTGGTAGGGTAATATTTGCATTATCAAATTAAGTAAAAGCACTAATTGAGTGGACAATTAAGTGGATGATTAAAGAAATGAAAAGTTGAATTGGTAGTGGAAAATGCACTAATTGAATGCTCATTTAAGGGATCTGAAAATTAGATTAGAGGAAAAAAAAAAGAGGGGGGCGGAGAGAGCGGTATACACTCGATATACACTCTTGATACACTGTATATACAGGAGCACAGAGCTAAAAAAACTTGGAAGAGATTCTGAGAGAGGGAAAACATTCAAAGAAGGTAGAAGGCTAGGAAATTCGGAGAGAAAAAAAAAAGATGGGGGCGGAGAGAGCGGTATACACTCGATATACACTATGGATACACTGAATATACAGGGGCAGAGAGCTAAGAAAACTTGGAAGAGATTCTGAGAGAGGGAGAACATTCAAAGAGGGTAGAAGGCTAGGAAATTCGGAGAGGAAAAAAAAAGGGGGCGGAGAGACCGGTATACACTCGATATACACTCTTGATACACCTAATATACAGGGGCAGAGAGCTAAGAAAACTTGGAAGAGATTCTCAGAGGGGGAGAACATTCAAAGAGGGTAGAAGGCTAGGAAATTCGGAGAGGAAAAAAAAAGAAGGGGGCGGAGAGAGCGGTATACACTCGATATACACTCTGGATACACTGGATATACAGGGGCAGAGAGCTAAGAAAACTTGGAAGGGATTCTAAGAGAGATATAGGAAGAGAGATACATAGAAATAGATACAGAAAAAAAATCAAAAACGATTGCAGAATTTCAGAAAAATACACTATTTCATTGAGTCATTTTGTATTTTCTGAAGTTTTCTTCTAGTATGGAAGCAATTCCTGGTTAGCTGATAATAAAAAGGGTTTAAGTCGAGTCGGGTTTGAGGTCTGCTGATTCACTAAGATTGAAATTAGGGTCTAACTATCGTATCACATCCCTTGGTTTCAAAATTAGTCTGCTGGTTCATTTTCAGGTGTTGAATACTACTGTTGCTGTTGGGTACTGCTGATACCTCATTTTTCTGCTTCCTTCTTTCATTTCCAGGTGCACACTTGAACTTAAATCGATGTAGCTTTGAGATGAACATGAAATGAAAGTACTCAGACATTTGTTTATTGGATGATGCATGTTTGGACAACTATACATATGTAGTTAAGTAAATATTAATGATATGTAACCGTGTAGTGTAGTCTAATTGGATTTATATTCACATGAAACTCGGACTGCGTAATTTGTACCTAATTGGACTGTTTGGGACTGTTAATTTGTGGTTATCCAGCTGTAGCCTTAGTATAGCTTAGAACTTGCTTTAGTTTAACGGTTTTGTTTTAAAAAATAAAATAAAAATCAGAAATTGTTTGGGTGTTGCAATTGTTTTTGAGATCAGCGTATGATATCCACATTAATTTTAATTTCAAGCTGAAGAGACGTCTCAAACAACTTTGTATTGCAGTAGCTAAGATCAGTAGATTAGTTACTCATATCAACATCTGCGTTTCATTAAGTAGTTTAGTTTAGCTGTATGATGATTAGATGTGAATAAAGTGTGAAGTTAGGCTATTAACCTGTTCGTGTTAGTGTAAGTAAAATCTCGTAATTAAGTTGCTTAGCCTGCTCATCTGAGGTTTATATTCATGACTATTTTTGTTAAAATTCAATTCACGTTTCCCAGTTTGTTTTGCCTTTAGTAATATCCAGAAGTTCACTAGTAGGTAAATAGATAAGAAAAATCTGAATATTAGAATATAAATCCAATCCAGTCGGTTTAGACGTCTAGCTGTTTTGAATTTTATTGAGATGAGCATATGAGTATGTCAAGTGTTGATTTGAATAAATGTGAAATAGCCCCATTATTTGCAAGTTAATAAGCCTGAATGTCAAGGTTGGGCCTGAATAAAGTCTGTCCGAAGCCCANCAAACAAACACAGGTTTTTAAACTTAGAATAACATAGCCTCATGCCGGATCCCTAGTAGGAACGTTTGTTGCATCACGTGAATTTGACTTTGGGGACTCAACATAGGGGTTGGGTCCGTCTAGGACAGGTGTACCCAAAATAACAGACCATCTTGATGCATTCTATGTGCTACATATTGCATTTCTTCAAGGGTAAAAGGGTCATTTGGCAGACCAATGATAGTTGAGGGTAGATGAAAAAGAAAAAGAGAGGTGAAGTGTGAGGATAAAGCGAGGAAGGCCCAATTATGTTTTTCTGTCACATTGTTGTTAAAGAAAAGAAAAAGAGCTTGAAATTTCAAAAAAAAAAGATTTTGTACTTTTTCATCATTTTTCGAAAATCAGAAAACCAAAAAAAGGAAAAAGAAGAAAATCCAAAAAGAGTTTACATGTTTCATCATTTTTCAAAACAAAAGATAAAAAATATTTTTCTCTGAATTAGTTGTTATTTTTATTTCTCGCCCGTATCCAATCTGCCCGAACTACGCATACCTGATTCTCGTCTTTCGGGGCGTGATACGTAGGCAACCCAGGTCTTCCTAGTAAATCTTAGGTTCTTGGCTTTGCGGGGTCATAACCAAATTTTGCACTTCTAGCCACCTTTTGGCCAAATAAGTCATTTTGCAAAAATAGCCTCAATCATGTCTTGCATGTGTCTTAGGGAATGTTATTGTCTCACATAGTGCTAGTTTAAATTTTCTCATACAGGTGTGGATCTACTTACTGAAGTTTGAGCATGACAGATACCACAGGATCAATGCATTCAGGAGCTGCTCGAGGAGCCATTTTATGTTTTTGAGTCAATTGTTTTTGTTTTATTTTCTAGTCCTGTATAGTAGTATTTAGTCTTTTAAGTGATGTTAGAGTTTGTAATAGTCAAGTTAAGTTTACCGAGTCTTTTGTTATTGTATTTCTTATTTTGTTTGTGGAAATGTGTTACAAGTCGAAAATCCAAAAAAAAAGAAAAAAAAAATAAAGAAAAAGAAGAAATTTTGCGTTTTTGTTATAAGAAATAAAAAAAAATTCTCCTTTGAGATGGTTTTTCCTTTAGGCAATTAATATCTAGGACTTAAAATGAATTGTTTTTATATTTCCTCTATTATATTAGGACCAAAAATTTTTTTAAAAAAGAGAATTTTATTTTAGTGCTTCTTTAAAAAGCTTTCTTTAAGGTGTTAGTTCTAAAATTCAAAAAGTTTTTCTTGTGAGGTGTTTCTTTGGGAAATTAATGAAAGATGAAAAAAATTCTTTTTATTTTCATTAGACCTTTAGGATATTGTACATAGAAAAAAAGCATACTTTATCTTTTGTTTATCATTAGAATTTTTTCTTTAGGCCATCAAAATTGAAATCCAAAAATATTCTGTTTTATCTTTTTCATTGCTTGTTTCGAAATCTTGCGTCAGGATATCAAATGAAAATTCAAAACATTTTTTCTGTGGTTTATTATTTAGATTTTCTTCCTAAAAAAAGAATCAAAAAAAAATATTTTTCTCTTCTAGGATATTTCCTTAATAGAGTATTTGTGTCAAAAGGATATATACAAAAAAAAACATGCCCGTTAATCTTGAGTTTAAAATAGGTCATAGAACGTTTAAGTCTAGAAAATTCAAANAGAATTTTTCCTTTAGGCCATCAAAATTGAAATCCAAAAATATTCTGTTTTATCTTTTTCATTGCTTGTTTCGAAATCTTGCGTCAGGATATCAAATGAAAATTCAAAACATTTTTTCTGTGGTTTATTATTTAGATTTTCTTCCTAAAAAAAGAATCAAAAAAAAATATTTTTCTCTTCTAGGATATTTCCTTAATAGAGTATTTGTGTCAAAAGGATATATACAAAAAAAAACATGCCCGTTAATCTTGAGTTTAAAATAGGTCATAGAACGTTTAAGTCTAGAAAATTCAAAAAAAAAAAAAGGATTTGCTGGTTTTATTTCTCTTTTCTCATCAGAGTAGTCGCTAAGATAAAAAAGAAAAAAGGAGAATGTCAGTTTGTTTACTTTATTCCGGTTCTTCCAGAACTACGCAAAGATCTGATTCATGCGGCGTCATGATACGTAGGCAACCTACATAAGGTTCGATCGAATCATTTTATTTTTTTAAAAGAAAAAAAGAAGGGGNCTCTAACGAGGTTGTGTTCAAAGTCCTTGATGCCCAACACTATGCACCAGAACCAACTTTCAAAATCTCAGATTCATACTCTATCGCTCCTCCTTTTGAGCCTCCCGGTGAAACTGAAAAGCTTGCTAAGACAGTGGAGCAAGATGAGATATCCAGGAGGGTGAAAATCTTAGAGCAGTCTTTAAGAAACATGAAAGGGATAGGGAGCCAGATGAGCGTGGATTACAAAGACTTGTGCTTGTTTCCTGACGTCCAACTGCCTGATAGGTTTAAGATGCCAAAGTTTGATTTATATGACGGGTATGGAGATCCCATGGCCCATTTGAGAGGCTACTGCAGTAAAATGAGAGGCATCGGTAATAAAGACAAATTATTGATGGCGTACTTCAGTCAAAGTCTGGGTGGGGCAGCTCTGGAGTGGTACACCCGCCAAGATGCTGGCAGGTGGTACACGTGGGATGATATGGCTCAGGCCTTTGCCAGGCACTTTCAGTACAATATAGAAATTGTCCTAGATCGCATGTCCCTCGCCAAGATACAAAAGAAGCCTAATGAAAGCTTTAAGGAATACGGGCTCAAATGGAGAGAGCAAGCTACAAGCTTCCAGAGTCCATCCTCCCATGGAAGAAAAAGAGATGGTCGATTACTTTCTTCAAGCTCAAGAACCAACTTACTTTGGGCATTTGATCACGGATGTGGGTAGGTCTTTTAATGATGTGGTAAAAATGGGAGAAATGGTAGAAGATGGGCTGAAGTCTAGCAAGATCATGAGTTATTCTGCTTTAAAAGCCACAACACAAGCAATTCAGAACGACACAAGAAGCTCGCTGGGTCAGAAGGAACACGATGATGTTGCCATGGTCGTTTTAGAGTCACGACATGGACCAAAGGGTACGCCTCACCAATATACCCAGCCTCAACTCCAACCCCAAACCTATCCCCGAGCTCCACATAATCCACCTCAGTATTATTCTCCGAACAATGTCTGGTCATCTGCCTAACTACCAGGTCACTCCCTATGGCAAGCGCCAGTACCGCATAATGCATTCTTGCCTTCACAACATTTCCGAGCACCCAACAACCCAAAAAAATAGGGGCAGGGAAGGGAACAAAGACAAAGAAATAGTTTCACGCCAATTGGGGAGTCCTACACAAGCTTATTTGAAAAGTTAAAGCATTCTGTCCTGATTGAGCCGCTCCTCGGCTATACTCCAGACCCATATGCAAAAGTCTTTGATCCTACTGTACGATGCATGTACCACTCTAATGTCCAAGGGCATAGCATTGAAGATTGTCGTTCCTTGAAAAGGGAAATAGAAAGAATGATTTAAGAAGGGGTAATTGTGATCAATGACTGTGACAGGGAGCACGCAAACCCTCTTGGGAACTTGTTGACTGAAGTTGATGATATTGAAGTTAGTAATGGTCTTGGCAATATTGATGAGGAACTCAGTGGCTAAGATGTCGTTCTTGGTAATTGGAAAGACGCTCCATTTCTTGGTCAGCTGGAGAGGAGTTTTAGTGGTTTATTTTGTTGTCATTTCTGTTGTCCGGGTTATTTTCAAGGTTGTAATCCGGATATTATCTTGTGACTCAAACCCTTCTATCCTTTTATTTTGCCTAGTTTGTTTAGTCGTAGTAGCTCGTTTAGTGTTGTCTAGGTTTGTTCTAAGGTTGTAACCCCGGTTTAGTCTATTTGTTCTGCTGTTCAAACCCTTTCACCATCTGTCTAATGCAATTTTCTGTTTTCTGTTATTTCTAGTCATTTTTGTTGAGTTCTCTTTTCCTTTTATAGTTCTTTTCCTGTTAACTCTAGTGACATGACATGCACACGTATTCTCAGCCTGGTCTTAAAAAGTTAATTTAGTCATGAAGAAATAAAACAATTTTGAAGATGATAGGGACATTTGAGGGAAATAAGTAAAGGCATTTTGAGATCATTTCAAGCCCGAATTGCGTGAAACTGGGGCAGATAGAACATAGAGAAACCCTATTGAAATGCATCCTGCTGCATCAGGTTGAAGCCAATGGCAAGTTTGCCCCAAATTGACAGGGGTCGTTCATGGTAATGAGAGTGAGAGTGTTGTCCAATGGTGCTTTGTATGTAACAGATGTAGAAGGCGAATGTGTGGATATGGTCATCAAGTCTGCCGCAATCAAAAGATGTTACGAATGTTTTCCTTGGTTTGTTTAATTGTGTTGTTTGTACTTGGTATGTTTTGATGATTGGAATAACGAAGAAATTTTGTTCTGCTATCTAAATACCTTATCCTTTGTTACCCCTTTGAGCCTTGTTTATTTTTTTTCATACCCCTCTTTCGGAATCAGTAGCAAAGATCAGAAAAACAAGCGTAAAAGATAAGTAAAGGAAAAGGAGAAAAGAAAAGAACGAAAAGGGAGAGAAGAAAAAATGAAAATTGAAAAAAAGGAAAAAAAAAGAAGAAAAAAAGAGGAAAAAGAAGAAAGAAAAAAACAACAACAAAACAACAAAAAGAGAAAAAGGAAGAAAGAAAAGAAAAGAAAAGAGAAAGAGAAAAGAAAAATCACAACAACATAGCAATTCCTATGTCATGAACTACGTTCGACCTGATTCTTTTTAAGGATATGTAGGCAACCTCACGGTTCGGTCCCATCAAAATAAAAATCCAAAAGTCCCCAAGCAAAGAAACTGGGGCAGAAGTTGTGTTTGTTGTAAGAAATCTGATTCCGAAAGTTGTAATTGTGAACCCATGATGAGTTGTTTTGAGCCTTTTGATACTCTTTCTTTCTAACCCCATCCAAAAGCCCACATCACGGTCCAGAGAAAGACCTTTCGATCAGTCTTCGAGAGATGCCAAGTCAAGCAAGGAAAGGTAATTCATATCAGGGGAAACACTCTGGTCCAAGCAGAAAAATGTTGAAAATGAGAGAGTCTTATTGGTGAAAACCCTCACGGGCACCATAAGGCGACGTGAGATGAGAGAATCCAAAAATGAGAGAGTCTTATTGGTGAAACCCTCGCGGGCACCGTAAGGCGACGGTAAGTGGAGAGAAAGAATCAAAAATGAGAGAGGCTTGATGGTGAAAACCCTTCGGGCACCACAGGTCGAATAAGGATTGTGAATCAGATTGGATAATCGGAGCATTGAAGCCCAGTTTTACGGTTTAGGGGTGTAACAGGAGTTGAACATCAGACTTGCTCAACAGAATAGGCCACAGGTGCATGTCATGGTCATTAGAGTTGGTATCCACATCTGATAGGTTTCTACTTTGTAGTTTTCTTGTTAGGAATCATTTCTTTCCTTTGTCCTTTACTCTGTTCCTTTTGTCTTGTTTACTTCCTCTTTCTGAGTGGGTTTGGTCAGAACAAGTGAGAAATGACTTCAAAATTTGCCTCCAGCTTACCAATTGCACAAAATGGGATCTGGCCAGCACATCAAGGTAGCATATGTTAGGAAAGAACAACAAGCGCACTGAGTTGGTAGCAATCAACATGCTTTGGAGTCCATGAGAAATATAAAGGTTTGGTATATTTCAATTCATGAATAGTACAACAGATAGAGAATGTTGGGTGAACGGGTCAAAGGTATTCTCTGTGATGAGATCAACAAAGAAAGTGTTTAACGAGTGACAAACGAGGTCTTCCAAGCAAAAAT